ATCCTCCCCGCCTTCTGCTCACCGCTGGAATAGCTTTCGTGCACGATCAACGGTCCAACCGTTCCCAAACTCGTGAGTAGATGGGTGGAAATGTGTCAACTTACCAGCAAGATCATGCTGGGGAGTTGCGCAAGTTGTTGGGGCAGAGGGAGGGTCTACAAGTCAGTCAAGGAAACTTGGAAGACTTAGTTAGAGAAATTCACAGCCAGTGCCCTTGGTATCCAGAACAAGGTTCATTGAACCCGTCAGATTGGGTCAGGATAGGTCAAACCTTTCTTGAAAAACCCCAGGGGACAATACAACAATTATTGCTGTGGAAGCAATGTTGTGAAACACTCACTCTCCTGGGAGTGACAGATAATCGCCCACCCGTGGCTCCGGTCACAAATCAACCTCTCCCGACTCAGATCATAAATCCTCTTTTTACCCCGCTCGAGATGGGATGTCCACAGATAGCCCTCCCTATCTTGCCTTCATGTGTCTTTGCTTTTGAATCATCCCCCGCCGATTCAAATCTCCCCTTCACTTCTCTTGAAAATAAACAGCCAAGTCTTGAGAAGTTTTTACAGCCCCAGCCACTGAGAGACATGATTCCTCAGACCATTCAAAATGCTGGCGGCCAAGAAAACATAACCATAACCATTCAAGACACAACAGCCGTGATTCCAGATCTAATTTATAGCTCCGACACATTCACTAAAACAGCTGGCCAACCGGAGCTCCCAACAATGACATTTGATCCTGCTTTTCCATACATTCAGTGGGCTCCCGAAATCCAAACATTTAAACAGCCTGACATTGATCACAAAACAATCATAAATATCATAATTCAGCTCTCAGATTTTGAGCCTGAAAAATCATATGCCTCTGCAGAAGGCGTTACATAAATAAACAATGCCTATACCATGTCCGGATGGACTATCAGGTCACAGACCTCCACCTTCTCCTAATACATCATTGATGAGACAGTTTAACAACCCCTATCCCATTCCCTTGAATTTCAATCGACACCAGCTAGATACAGCTATGTCGGTGTGATTTTTTTAACACCCCCCCCCCCTCCAAAAGATATCATTAAAAGATTTCCATTCAACAAAAACATAAAGTTCCCATAACAAATATGGTTAAAAAACACCCTCTGATAAACTTATAGTGTCATTAAATAGACATTTGTTACAAAATGATTTTCAAGATGAACTTCTGTTCAATCAGAAGTTCCAGGGTCATAAATACATACACAATATACAGTCAAAGATCAATATAAAATCCTCATTCAAGATATAATGGGAGCCACGATACAACATCTAAATAGTGATTCCCAACCTTCCTCATGCTGCGGCTCTTTCAGACAGTTCTTTATGTTATACTAACCCTCAACTGAGAGATGTTTGAGATTGTTTTCAGTTGCTATTATTGTTTCATAGTTATAAGTTTGCTTGTTGCTATTATTGTTTCATAGCCATAAGTTTGCTACTATCATAAATTGTGATATACATGTCTGATATACAAAATAGATTCTCATCTACTTAATCTAGTTTGATACACATACCTATACACAACAATTTAAATACTGATAAAGTTGGTGTTGATTTCAAAATCAAGAGTTATAGTTCCTAAGATTTATAGTTCACAATCAAAAAACACATTTTAAACTCCACCAACAATAAAATTAAACCAAACTTGACACACAAAACTTCTTGTCCCTTTCATTTCAAAGGGTCAATTATATATGAGACTCACATTACATTCAACTCATACAATTTTAAATTTTAATCACACCTAAAAGCCATACATTTCATCTGATGTTTACAGATAAATCAACTCCACAAAAACACACTTCTTACAAAACATTGGTTGACAACACATGCTTACATGATAACATATCTTGCTATGTTATTAATCATATTACACATTAAACATTTTTGCTTAGTTCATTTTAAGATTGAGTTTATTAAGTCTACAAATCATAGCTTTGTTTGTTTCTTTTGATGTTCTTTTTCCCTTCCTAAAACACCAAACTCCACCCCCTCTCCATATCAAACACAACACACTAAAGTCATCATTTTTAAAAGTCTGGTCTCAGCTTTCAATGGATCAAACCATTATATCATAAATCTACCTTACAAAACACTAAAATCCATCAAAAAGTCTCTCCCCTCTGTGAGAGAGACTCAAGCTGACAGACACGCTACCCCAAAAAAAGGGGAGACATACATTCCACAGGCGAGAGATAAAGCCGTCCCAGCCACGGCTAGGCTTTAAACTCTGATTACACACACACAAACACTTCCCCTATCCTGTTTCTGTTAAAATGACTTTTTGATTCATGATTGTTTACCTTTTGATTTATGCTTGGTTACTCTGTTTTATTCTTTTAATTTGTCTCTTTTATAAAATATTATAAGATGTTTTAAATGTGCTTTCATTCTGCCTCCATGCCTAATCTACTTAAAAACTACAATTCCCTTCCTTACACACCGATGCCCATTTTCTGATTAAAGACCATAATAAATCATTAATTAATTAATTAATGACTATCCAAATCCTTGCTCTTCAACAAAACACAGCCCTATAAAGGTCATGCCTTTTCATCCTCATACTACAAAACCTATTATCCATTTCTCATTACACAATTACTAAAGTTTTCCAACAGGTCTACTGTTGATCATTGCCACACTCATCCACATATATTTCAACAGATTAAAACCACTTACCCATAACATTGCTCAAAATACATTCCCTAAAGATTTTAATACAACATTTTCTCCTTTTATAACTCTGTGCCAGTTCCAACGTTTTAAAATCATACCATTCCCAATGCTAGGGGTTAAACATGGCTTCCCACTATTGACCTGGGTTTAACACACTCAGTTTTCTTAAGATGTTCAGTTAATCTGATCTCTTCATCACAGACAGTTTTGGTTCTGTCTCCAAGCCATCCCTACACATCTAAATCATAATAAGCTCATAACTACCACAGTCATTTCAACTACAACCACTTACACTATTTGCCTAATTTTCCTCACTACTTTCCATAACAAAAAACAAAACACATATTCATTCATAAACATCTCTGCTACAACATACCTTATATTACAATGCTAAGTTCACAATGTTCTGCCCACATCTTTAACATTCCCTATGATGACCACACAAAACGAGATTGCTCCAAATCATACCTCTAAAAACCATCTGCTTCTTCTCACACACAAACAAAAAAGGGGGAGTCACCCCCTGGCCTTTTCGCTGCTCTTTTGCTTTCGCTTTCCAGCAATGGCCTTCCTATATGTGTTATTTACCATTAATCATTTGAATTTAATTTTATCTGATTCTTCTTTCGTTACCAGGATCCAGAAGCATTTCCCTCTCCCTACCCCCTTTCACTCCCTTGATACAGGTTGCCAGATCCGGAATGAAAAGGCCCAGCTCCCCTCATCGCCTGAAGTCAAAAATACTGCTGTGACGGGTCGATTTGAGTTAAAATCATGAAATCAAAGAGTTAAAGGAGACCTCGTGGGCCATCCAGTCCAACCCCCTGCCAAGAACCAAGAGTTCCTGCTTCAGCTGTCATAAACCTATGGACTTTAACAAACATGACTTGCTTCTTGACAACATTGTTTAATCACACATTCTCTGTCATTGGCTTCTTCAATCAAGCGCTTTGGGTTCCTGCTCGCTACATTTGCCCCTGAAAGATGACGTGACACCAAGACCTCCAAAATCCCATTCACCCTCCAGTCAATTCTATGTGTTGTTTCAAATCTCACAAATAACTTCAACAAAATATTTATACATGTTGTTTTTAAAGACTTAGCTTAACATATTAAGCAAAACACTGTACCTGCTTGATAAAACTTTTATAATCCAATTTGTTTATTCCACACAACTATTGATGGCTCATATAATAATCTGCTACTGCTACATTTGATATATATATATATCCCATTGTTATAAACTTCTTGCTAGCCTCACGCTCTGCTGACCTTTCCCCGCTGCCTCAAAATGATATCCTAATATATGACCTGGCTTCCTGTCGGCTAGATCAGAAGAACGGTTCAAATTGCTTTACTGTTAACTAGCTGTTTGATCATATGCTGTTGCTGCATTCAATGCATCCCATCCCTGTGGCATATATACAAGCCACGGCCCCTACAACCCCCTCCCAGGCGTGATGTCCTTTATGCATACAAATTGTTGAAAAACGAAAAGGGGGGATGAAGGGACATTATCATTATTAGTATCCCTTATATAGGGGAGACACTATTGTGTCCTTGGTGCAGAGGTGCAGGAATGGCAATGGACCACTAGGGGGGACTGGCAAACCATACCTCCGAAGGGAACGTTGCAGATTCCAGTCCTCTGACACTTATGATTCACACCTTTCTGGCAAGGGGATGCAGGGGGCATCATGACCTGGGACTGATAGTAGGTTGTAGGCTACCTCACCTTAAGATGAGCTCACCTCTAGCCAATCACTCTGCCAATGATGTAATCCAACTCACTGTTACTATGCAAGCTTTGCAAAGAGCACAAGAAAAGATATATAAGCAGCTTGGCTGATCAATAAACTTTGAGATCACCCTCACCCTCCTGACTGCCCATCTTCTTTATCGTCTCCACAGCCTGTCATGTTCCTTGATTCGTGTAAACAATCAGGCACATCTAATCACCTCTCAACAAAAGATTCCCCCAGGCACTGCCAAGCCATCAAATGCTAATTAAGGTGGTCAGTTGAAACATTCAACTTAGCTCCAGCAGACAAGAGTCCTTTGTCCCACCCTGGTCATTCCACAGATATATAAACCCATTTTCCTACTTCCAACAGACCTCACTACCTCTGAGGATGCTTGCCATAGATGTAGACGAAACGTCAGGAGAGAATGCCTCTAGAACATGGCCATATAATCTGGAAAAACCTATAACAACCCAGTGATTCCGGCCATGAAAGCCTTCGACAATACATTGAGAAACACTGATGTAGTGTATAATAAAGCAACCCGTTATTGGTTGAGTATCCTCTAAAATCCATGGCATTCAATGCATACAAACATCGTTTCCTGTACAAAGTTATGTAACCTATCGTGCAGGAAATGGCCTTCAGGCTATGTATAGAAGGTGAGTAGATAACATATGAAGCATGAAGGAATTTTGGGTTCCAGCTCCTAGGCGTATTATTATGTATGTGCAAATAGTAAACAAACACAAAAATCCAAAATATGACTCAGGGAGGCTCAACCTGTCTCGGTATAAAAGACAGCAAAGACTAATAGTATCTGCTAGGAAGTTTTGAGACGCACATTGACGGGAGTTAGGGAGAGTTTTTCCTGGAGGAAGGAGGCTTACTCCGTCTCTTCCATCTCGCAAACCCAGCCGTAGAGCCGCGTGCAATGGTCGTCGTTCCAGCAGCCACTCCGGTGGAGGTGGGCACAGTCCTCTCCGCCACCAAGGCCGTGGCCGTACCAGTTGTCCGGCTGGCCCTCGCACCAATCCCTGTCGGAAGAAAGCATTAGGGCTGTGTCTACATCATATATATGTTTTGGATTCCAACCCCACAATTCCTAACACTGGGTGAGCTCCCGCTGTTAGCCCCAGCTTCTGCCAAACTAGCAGTTCAAAAACATGCCAATATGAGTAAATTAATAGGTACTGCTCCGGCAGGGAAGTAATGGCTGAGCTGCTGAACTTGCTGACCTAAAGGTTGGTGGTTTGAATCCAGGAAGCGGGGTGAGCTCCCGCTGTTAGCCCCAGCTTCTGCTAAACTAGCAGTTCAAAAACATGCCAATGTGAGTACATTAATAGGTACTGCTCCGGCAGGGAGGTAATGGCTGAGCTGCTGAACTAGCTGATCTAAAGGTTGGTGGTTCAAATCCAGGGAGCAGAGTGAGCTCCTGCTGTTAGCCCCAGCTTCTGCCAACCTAGCAATTCAAAATCATGCAAATATGAGTAGATGAATGGGTACCGCTCCGCCAGGGAGGTAACAGCTGAGCTGCTGAACTTGCTGTCCTAAAGTTTGGCGGGTTGTTGTAGGTTTTTTCGGGCTATATGGCCATGGTCTAGAGGCATTCTCTCCTGATGTTTCGCCTGCATCTATGGCAAGCATCCTCAGAGGTAGTGAGGTCTTGGACAATACAAAAGTTTGGCGGTTTGAATCTGGGGAGCGGGGTGAGCTCCCGCTGTTAGCCCTAGCTTCTGCCAACCTAGCAGTACAAAAACATGTAAATATGAGTAGATCAATAGGTTGCGCGGTCTGCGGTAGCGCTCCATGCTGGCCACATGACCTTGGAGGTGTCTATGGACAATGCCGGCTCTTCGGTTTAGAAATGGAGTTGAGCACCAACCCCAAGTCGGGCACGACTGGACTTAATGTCAGTCTGTGGGAAGGTAACAGTGCTCCATGCTGGCCACATGACCTTGGAGGTGTCTATGGACAAAACCGCCTTGAGTCGCCATTTCGGCTGAGAAAGGCGGTATAGAAGTAAAGCAAATAATAATAATAAACAAATAATGCTGGCTCTTCGGTTTAGAAATGGAGTTGAGCACCAACCCCAAGTCGGGCACGACTGGACTTAATGTCAGTCTGTGGGAAGGTAACAGTGCTCCATGCTGGCCACATGACCTTGGAGGTGTCTATGGACAATGCTGGCTCTTCGGTTTAGAAATGTTACCTTTACCCTTTACATTTGCCTCAATCTGGACATTATCCCGCAGGTATATATACACTCACTCCTCTTGCCTCTCTGCCTTCAAAACCTCTGAAGATGCCAGCCACAAATACAGGTGACATATCAGAAGAGAATGCTACTGGAACATGGTCATACTGCCTGAAAAACTCACAGCAACCCAATTGCATCCATTCAATGCAATAAATGCATTCACTGTTATAAACCAGGCATGGGCAAACTTCGATCCTCCAGGTGTTTTGGACTTCAACAGCCGGTAGGCTGTTAGGAATTGTGGGAGTTGAAGTCCAAAGCACCTGGAAGGCCGAAGTTTGCCCATGCCTGGTACAAATGCACCCAAGGGCTCTGGAGATCAGACTTCAAATTCCAATTCAGCCATTAGAGGACCTTGGGTCAAAGTCACATACTCTCAGCCTCAGAGGAAGGCGATGGCGAACCTTCTGTATGGGTCTTGTGGCTTCGAAAGCCTCTCAAAAACCCTCTTATATGGCCCAAAGCTTCAGACATGCCCAGTGTTGCAATCTGAGTGCAAAAAGGGGTGGCCGTGGCAGCCCAGAAGGGTCAACTCACTCTTGCCGAACGGTGTAGGAAGTCCCGTCCATCCATTTCCACGTCCCGCTGGCGTCGCTCAAGCCGATCCACATGTAATTGGGCCTTATCCACGTGGCCACGAATTGCTGGCATGAGAAAGGATTTCAAAAGATGCCAAATGATGCAAAACGGCAGCACCGCAAACCATCTATGTTGTTGCCGTGTGAGCAAAGCCAGGCCACTCACCTGTTCCTCGTAGGAGGTGATGATCACCAGGTGGGCGTACCTGGCCTCGCATTCCGCTTTGGCATCTTGCCAAGTCTTTCCAACCCTGGATTCCCAGTAACAGCTTCTCCGGAAGGAAACCCAGCCTTTGGGACAGCAGGGTTTGGGATTGTCTGGGGAATATCAGACAGTATATTTAGATGACCTTGTGTCTGGTTCTGGGCAATAAGGCAGGCAAGGGCCAACTTGGGCCCTCCAGGTGTTTTGGACTTCAACTCCCACAATTCCTAACAGCCGGTAGGCTGTTAGGAATTGTGGGAGTTGAAGTCCAACACACCTGGAGGGCCCAAGTTGGCCCATGCCTGCAATAAGGGTAACAAGGGGTGTCAAACCCATTTCTCCTCACCAGTTCGGTTCTTTTTAAAGTTCTCCAGGTCGCAATTCAGGTTCCTGACATTCTTCTGCAGCTCCTTCACCTGGCCGCTGAGTCGAGTATGAGCTGGGAAGCAAAACAGTTGATGTATTGTCAAAGATTTCATGGCTGGAATCACTGGGTTGCTGTAGGTTTTTCGGGCTATATGACCATGTTCTAGAAGCATTCTCTCCTGACGTTTCGCCTACATCTATGGCAAGCATCCTCAGAGGTTGTGAAGCCAGACCTTGAAGCTGCTAGGAGATTCAGTGCTAATCAAGGTAGCCAATTGCAACATTCACACTTGCCTCAAGCAATTTTAGAGTTTTTATAATACCGGCAGCCAGATTAATACAGATTTAATAAGGGCCAGCTAATCACCACCCAACAAAGGATTCCACCAGGCAGTAAGAAGCCAGACCTTGTCACTGCCAGGTCAGGAAACAATCTGCTCAGCTAACACCTCCCAACAAAGGATTGCCCAGGCAGGAAGGAAGCAGCCAGGCTTTGAAGGTGCAAGGCCATGTAATAGAAGCATTCTCTCCTGATGTTTCGCCTACATCTATGGCAAGCATCCTCAGAGGTTGTGAAGCCAGACCTTGAAGCTGCTAGGAGATTCAGTGCTAATCAAGGTAGCCAATTGCAACATTCACACTTGCCTCAAGCAATTTTAGAGTTTTTATAATACTGGTAGCCAGATTAATACAGATTTAATAAGAGCCAGCTAATCACCTCCCAACAAAGGATTCCACCAAGCAGTAAGAAGCCAGACCTTGAAACTGCCAGGCCAGGAAACAATCAGCTCAGCTAACACCTCCCAACAAAGGATTGCCCAGACAGGAAGGAAGGAGCCAGGCTTTGAAGCTGCAAGGCTATTCAGTACTAATCAAGGTGACCAATTGAAACATTCACACCTACCTCAAATAGACAAGAATTCTTTCTCCCACCCAGGCAGGAAGGAAGCAGCCAGGCTTTGAAGCTGCAAGGCTATTCAGTGATAATCAAGGTGACCAATTGAAACATTCACACCTACCTCAAACAGACAAGAGTTCTTTCTCCCACGCTGGACATTATTCCACAGATATATAAACCCAAAGTTGGCAGAAGCTGGGCCTAACAGCGGGAGCTCACCCCACTCCCTGGATTTGAACCACCAACCTTTCGGTCAGCAAGTTCCACCGCTCCAATAATAATAATAACAATTATCATTATTATTATTATTATTATTATTATTATTATTATTAATGTATTGTATTGTCGAAGGCTTTCATGGCCGGAATCACTGGATTGTTGTAGGATTTTCCGGGCTATATGGCCATGTTCTAGAGGCATTTTCTCCTGACGTTTCGCCTGCATCTATGGCAAGCATCCTCAGAGGTAGTGAGGTCTGTTGGAACTAGGAAAATGGGTTTATATATCTGTGGAATGACCAGGGTGGGACAAAGGACTCTTGTCTGCTGGAGCTAGGTGTGAATGTTTCAACTGACCACCTTGATTAGCATTTAATGGCTTGGAAGTGCCTGGGGGGAATCTTGATGTTGAGAGTGATTTGATGTGCCTGATTGTTTACTCTCTGTTGTTTTACTTTTTTAATATTGGTAGCCAGATTTTATGTATTGTTTTAGGTATAAATGGACATGTATATGTTTGGCAAGTCCATAGATAAAATCCCAAATATTATTCCCTCCCCCTTCAATATAAGACTTAGGGTTCCTAAAATTGTTGCAAATGAAATTATAGTATTGTAATTCATGAAATGGGATTTTTTTTTTAGAAGGATACAAAAAAAAAACCAGCACATATGGACAGAGATAGATTCAAAAAGTATTTGTCTGTCTATCTATCTATCTATCTATCTATCTATCTATCTATCCATCCATCCATCCCTCCGGACTCTTCCCTTCTTCTTTTTCATCTCTTTATCAAGTTACCATATTTTCTGTTTTCTCAAATAGCTAAGGAATCTCCCCAAAATGCAGAAAATGCTCTGGTGGGTGGTCTTGTTTTGCACTCAAGCCGATCAGCAGCAGATCACCCACGTGTGGTATTAGAAGGAATGCATGACTTGACACACTTAGCAACACACGCCCTAAAAGCAGGGAATAGAGGCTGTTTGACTTTGCATTTCAACTGTGGGATTTTGGGGCCCACGCCACCCCCAAAACAGCCCTAAATCACATATTGCCACGTGCCTCGAAGTCATTTCCGACCTACAGTGGCCCTTTCACAGAGTTTTCTTGCTAAGGTTGGTTCAGAGGAACTTTGGCATTTCTTCCTCAGAGGCTGAGAGAGTGTGACTTGCCTAAAGTCACCCAGTGCCTTGAATGGCTTAGCAGGGATTTGAACTTTGGCCCCCCAAATTCATATGCCAAGTTGAGTGTCAGCAAGCAGCAGAGGATTTTTCTGACATTTCAGAGTGATGAAAGCATGATGGAAATACATGATACACCTATTGGAAAATATATATTGGATGTAACTATATTAGAAATAAGAATTAGAAAATATATATGAATATCACAAAGGGATATGAATGCATGAACCTCACTTCACTTGGGAAAATTTTATCTTCTTAAAAGCTGCAAATTAGATGCCACAAACAGGTCAGAAAGAGGCCAGGGTCTAGGAAAGGAATGTCTAGGCAGAGGGCCAGATCACAGTCCCTAAAACTGTTGGAGGGCCAGATTATAATTTGAAAAAACATGAATGAATTCCTATGCACACTTCACATATATTATTTGTAAGGAGAACGACTCAAATGATCAAGGGTCTGGAGAACAAGCCCTATGAGGAGCGGCTTAAGGAGCTGGGCATGTTTAGCCTGAAGAAGAGAAGGCTGAGAGGAGATATGATAGCCATGTATAAATATGTGAGAGGAAGCCACAGGGAGGAGGGAGCAAGCTCGTTTTCTGCTTCCCTGGAGACTAGGACGCGGAACAAAGGCTTCAAACTACAAGAAAGGAGATTCCACCTGAACATGAGGAAGAACTTCCTGACTGTGAGAGCCGATTCAGCAGTGGAACTCTCTGCCCCGGAGTGTGGTGGAGGCTCCTTCTTTGGAAGCTTTTAAACAGAGGCTGGATGGCCATCTGTCAGGGGTGATTTGAATGCAATATTCCTGCTTCTTGGCAGGGGGTTGGACTGGATGGCCCATGAGGTCTCTTCCAACTCTTTGATTCTATGATTCTATGCACATATCTTATTTGTAGTGCAAAAAATCCATTTTAAAATAATACAATAATTAAAATTAAGAACAATTTTAACAAAAATAAACTTATTAGTATTTCAGTGAGAAGTGTGGGGCTGCTTTTGGCTGATGAGATAGAATTGTTGTTGTTGTGTGCTTTCAAGTAGTTTCAGACTTAGGTTGATCCTGAGAGAGGGTCGGGTAAATGACCTTGGAGGGCCGTATCCGGCCCCTGGGCCTTAGTTTGAGGACCCCTGGTCTAGGGCTTCTGGCAAATATCAAGACCCATACCAAGCAGATTAATGAGCCTTGCCATCAAGAGGCTTCTCCAGGAAGGACTTATCTTAAGATGGATGGAAGTTCTTGCTATCAGTAGACCCTCTGGCGCTATGGGGTAAGGATGCTCCCTAATAGCAGCAGCTCTTTAGATAAAGGTGCTTAATGGAAGATTAAAGGTGTTGAAGTTAAAATATGCTATTGAAGACAATGTGAAAGTGGAATTTTGTGATGCACATTGTGATGCTTGTATGATACATGCATATTATTTTAAAGGGTATATAAACCAAGGCAATTCTTTTGTTCAGCACTCTGTTTTCTGGAATACCAGCAGGGTCCAAATCTGGTTGGCGCCAACCGAGAATAAACTGTGCTTTTGCAGACCTCAGGAACCCTCTTTTGTCTCTTTTCCTCAAACCTTCTCCCTGCCATTTCAAGAGGACAAGGGGTCTGTCAGTGTTTGGAGAGAATTGCAGTCAGATGAGGCTAATATTTTGGATTTCCTGTGCTCGTTTTCAGGCAACCAGGACTCTTGAGAAATGCCCTTTGGCCATGGGGAGTTTTCCTGAGAAACCAGATTAGGCTTGAGAACAGTGGGAGTGAAAGATAGACTAATTAAACGCTCTGAGAGAGTCCGTGATAAGACCTTGAAGTCCAGGTGCGTTCAGAACGATCTCATGGCTACTTGGATGGGTTTAAATTTAATGGTGTTGGTTTCACGCATCTCAAAGAAGGCAACGTTGACATATGGGATGGCTCTCCTGTCTCTGCTCTCTGTTCATGATTCAAGTATTCTCAAGTTTCCTGTTCTGGTCCATGCCTTTCTTTCCTTGAAGGGTTTACCTTGGAAAAGTTCTTGCTTTCTTGTTTATGGATTTATGTTTGAAATACTGCTGTGGATTTTGGTTCTCTTGATTTTATGTACTTTAGCGTTTTTGAATTGCTGCTATTTTGTATTTTCTATTTTGCTGATCCTTTTGGAATTGTAATTTCCCCCTTTTTACCTGCTTGCTTCAATAAACATTTTTAGATAGAACTACTAGACTCTGGTGTGGTGTTGGGTGAAAAGGTGTTTAAGGAGCTCCATTGGCTGCCGTTCATTTTCCGGTCACAATTCAAGGTGCAGGTGCTTACCTACAAAGCCCTAAACGGTTTGGGACCCGCCTACCTGCGTGACCGCATCTCTGTGTACGAACCCACAAGATCTCTTCGTTCATCTGGAGAGGCCCTATTTGCGATCCCACCTCCATCGCAAGTGCGATTGGTGGGGACAAGGGACAGGGCCTTCTCGGTGGTGGTCCCTCGACTCTGGAACTCACTCCCCAAGGACATTAGGCATGCCCCAACTCTGGCAGTCTTTAGGAGGAGCCTGAAAACGTGGTTGTTCCAATGTGCCTTCCCAGAATAAAGAAACCCTAAGCAACATGTCCCTAATCGCACTTTACTAATAATCTAGGGTTGTCTGCTCGCTTTATCTCTCTCCAAATACCTATCCTAGTTATATGTCACCTGGTCATGCCCAGCTTTTTTAAAATTTTAATTATTACATTTGGCCCTGCCATAGGTTTTTAATGTGTTGTGGTGTTATTGTTACTGTTTATTGCTTTGCTTATGAGTTTATTGTTTTGTCGAAGGCTTTCATGGCTAGAATCACTAGGTTCTTGTGGGTTTTTTTCGGGCTATAGGGCCATGTTCTAGATTGTTGTCTGTATTGTTGTTGTTGTTTTTCCTGATGTACTTGGGCTCGGCCTCTTGTAAGCCGCACCGAGTCCTTCGGGAGATGGCAGCAGGGTATAAATAAAAGTTTATTATTATATTATTATTCAGTGCTAGAGTGCAACAGTCATGCCCCCATAGAGACTTTACTATTAAATCTAATTAAGCCTCCCTTAATTAGTTTCCCAAGAGCCAGAGCCATTTTGAAGGAGGTGCTAGAGGAGCTTGGAAGCTAAACACATGGTATGTTTAGAAGTCAATACTAGAAGCTGAAGAAAACTTGCCACCGGTGCATGGAAGACAAGGCAGGAAAGAACACAGAAGGAAAGCCAGAAGTAAGCAAGAACTACAATGGAATGAAGCCTCCAACTTTTCCTGCAAATTTTAGTTGTTAGCCCTGGGAGGAGTTTGAATTTGACTTTTTATTACTTTACTAGCCGTCCCCTGCCACTCGTTGCTGTGGCCCACTCTGGTGGTCATGGGGGTTCTGTGTGGGAGGTTTGGCCCAATTCTATCGATGGTGGGGTTCAGAATGCTCTTTGACTGTAGGTGAACTATAAATCCTGGCAACTACAACTCCCAAATGTCAGGATTCTATTTTCCCCAAACTCCACCAGTGTTCACATTTGGGCATACTGAGTATTTGTGTAGAGTTTGGTCCAGATCCATCATTGTTTGAGTCCACAGTGCTCTCTGGATGTAGGTGAATGACAACTCCAAAACCAAAGGACACTGCCCACCAAACACTTTCAGTATTTTCTGTTGGTCAAGGGAGTTCTGTGTGCCAAGTTTGGTTCAGTTCCATCATGGTGGGGTTTAGAATGCTCTTTGATTGCAGGTGAACTATAAATCCCAGCAACTACAACTCCCAAATGACAAAATTAATTTTTTTTGAGTGAAGGACATACATTGGGTTGTTAGGTGTCTTGTGTCCAAATTTGGTGTCAATTCATCCAGTGGTTTTTGAGTTCTGTTAATCCCACAAATGAACATTACATTTTTATTTATATAGATTCAATTCCTTGTTAACGGTTTGCTTGTGTAAATCCAACTGTTCCTGGTGAGCTTAGATCACCTTCAAGAATCAGCTCAGGGGACAGCACAGTGAGGATTGTCATAAGTCGTAAGTCAGAGTGCATCTCATATAGCAATGAGATGCACAAGGGAACGTGTGACGGCGCAAGTGGCGCCACTATGTATAGAACTGTTAGTTGCAAGATTTAAACTGTTGTATTATGCTTAATCCTGCCCCTTTTACCATGTTTATGTACAGTTGTATGGATTGGTTGCTTGTAGCTGTCAATCAGTACTGTTTGGCTCCACCTCTTCCTGGAGGGGGGGGGAGTGGTTTCCTTCTTCATTCTGCCATCAGAGGTCCTGCCATATGGACCTGAGTAAAAGACTTGTTTCTTAAAGACCCTGATTTAAGTTACCTCTTAACACCAGTTCTGAGGTTTTTTAACCCCTGGGACTCATGCTTTATGTCCAGATCGTCCTGGACAATTATTGAGGAGACCCAGGCGCCTTCAAGCCGGTTCTTTTGGCAGCAAAGGAAGATCCTGAATCTTCAAAACATAGGCCATCTGAACTGGGGGTGTGGTTTGCTCCGGCATTCACAGCCATTGAGGAAAGAGGAAACTTGGTGAGGCTTCTCAGCTTCAAACCCCTTGAACCCAGGACTAATTGAGACTGTAGAGTATGTTTTTCTTCACCCCTCTAAAGTTTTCCAGCGTATTGCTTTGAAGAAATGACTTTGTGATCAATAAAACTTATTTTGAGCTATTTACATCGTTTTGGGTTTTTGGGAGTTCCAGTTTCCTATAGGAGGGCAAGAAGCAATCCCCTGGGGGAAAGATGCCACGTCCATCCCTCCTTTATTGAGCCCCCAGGCGCGACGGCACAGAACGATTGTGCACTTTTGCAGACTCACCTGTTTCTCCTTCTTCCGTCAGCTGTTTTACCGTCCCTTCTAACTGTGTAACTTTTGTATCAGCATCCTTTTCTGAAATGCACAATGTAGTATATTATTAGTATATTATTATTATTATTATTATTATTATTATTATTATTATGTCATTTTTTTCTCCACAAGGAGAATAGAGCAACTGTATGGCTGCTCACCTTCTTGATTTCAGAGTTTGGGAAGTTACTTTTCAAAAGTAATTTGTTCACCTGTTGATTCTCTGGTAGGTACAGGTTGGGCTAGGTGACCTTGAGATTGCCTTCCAATCTATTATCAGTTGCTCATTTTGTGTTTGGAAAATAGTCTCTTGCTCTTACTCATCATTTACTACATTGATTTTAATAGGGGTTTTCCCTGTGTTACAGTGGGTTTTCCCATTGGTATCTACTGGTTGCAAGGACACCAAAATCCAGCCCATTATATGCAATGGCATAGTAAAATGGCGCCCCGCGTATAAAATGGCACTGTTGTGGCTCAGCAAGCAACGGGATTTTTCTGATGTTTCCAGGAATGAAAGAATCAATGGGTTTCAAAGTGAAGAGTCTGCTAGTGAGTAGAGAATTGCAGGCCAAAGAGGCCATTGTCTGGGATTCTCGTACTTGTTCCCAGGCAACAGAAAGTGAAGATGTCAGTTCCTTTGTGAAATGGCCTTCGACCAATGGTGTTTTCCCGAGAAGCCAGATTAGGTTTGAGAACAGAGGGAGTGAAAGATAGACTAATTAGACATTGTGAGAGAATTTGTTAGGAGTCCTTGAAGTCCAGGTCAGAGTTAAATTGAGTGGTGTTTACTCTGTACCTCTCAGAGGAGAAAACGTTGCCATAAGGATGACCTTCCTGTCTCGGCTCGCAAATTCATGACTCAAGTTTCCTGTTCTTGCCTCTGTTCCTTGAAGGGGTTGCCTTGAAAAAGTCTCTGTTTTCATGCCTATGGATTTATTCTGGTGATTTGGACTCTGTTGACTTCATGTACTTTGACATTTTTGGATTGCCACTCTTTTGTATTTCTTATTCTACTGTACTTTTGGGAAATACCCCTTCCCCCCCCCCCTTTGTACATGCTTTTCTTAATAAATTTTTGTAGATGGTACTACTGAACTCTGGTGTGATGCTGGGTGAAAAGGTGTCTCAAGCTTAGAGGGCAACAGACATAATCAAGATTTGAAGTTTGGAATACTTTCAAGCCACAGATGGTTGGATTCATTGGTGCAGAATGAAGGGTCAACTATATGCTGCCATTGATAACTACGGATATTCTCGCTTAACCAGTGCAATATTTCCTTCCCTCACCTTTGCTCTGTAGGCCAGCTATTTCTTCCGTCATTGATCCATTGATGCTTTGAAGGGTCTGCTTTAAGGTGCTGATCTGCCAGCGATAACTGCTACCTGGGAGAAAAAAAGAGGGAGAGAAAAAGAAATTAAATTGAATGTATTCATAGAATCATAGAATCATAGAATCAAAGAGTTGGAAGAGACCTCCTGGGCCATCCAGTCCAACCCCCTGCCAAGAAACAGGAATGTTGCATTCAAATCACCCCTGACAGATAGCCATCCAGCCTCTGTTTAAAAGCTTCCAAAGAAGGAGTCTCCACCACACTCCGGGGCAGAGAGTTCCACTGCTGAATGGCTCTCACAGTCAGGAAGTTCTTCCTCGTGTTCAGATGGAATCTCCTCTCTTGTAGTTTGAAGCCATTGTTCCCTTGCGTCCTAGTCTCCAGGGAAGCAGAAAACAAGCTTGCTCCCTCCTCCCTGTGGCTTCCTCTCACATATTTATACACTACCTATGTGCAATTTGTCAGTTCCCATTTTGCAGCATAGCTTTGGATTACGACACTGGAGACTTAGCCGTAGGAAATCCACTGGATGGCCCTGGACGAGTGACACTCTCTCAGCCTTAAACCAAGGAAAGGGCAAACCACCTCTGAACATACACATACACACACATATATACACACACGCACGATTATGGGTGTTGCTGTCCAAAAATGAGATTTTTCTCAAGGAGTCTGACTAGAGCAAAGCAATGAAATAATAGGGAACTATTAAGGATTCTGGGAATTGTCATGCAAAAAAAAAGGAACTTTCCCAGACTTTGTTTATATTCTGCACCCAGCTAGAGAAGCCAAGGAACATTTGAAGGAGATGGGTAGATTGAGCTTGGAGGAGAGATAACAGGGGAAGAGATATCACCATCGTCTTTGAATATCTTCTTGGGCTTTTCAAATGGAGACTGGATGCTTGCGTATCCACTGTTTGGGACACTTGAGTGGTGGTTTCCCTGTGCTGCTCACCATTGGCGCCAAAGACGATGACCGCTAGGAGAAGGGCGCCACTGAAGCCCAACAGAACCAGAACCAGGCGGCGGCTGGGGCAGAGGCGGCGGCCCAGTGTCGGGCTCATAGGAAGTCTTGCGGGCACTGAGGAATGGAGGCAACAAGGGTCAGTAACGCACCACAGCACACCAAGCTTCCAACCATGGCTTCTTCTGCCATCTTCCTTCCCCTCACAGATTGGCCTGTCACTCTTGGACCAACCTAGCATGACTCATCTTCCCTCAGAGTTCATTCACTCAAAGACTGACCTTCCTTCCTTTCCTCAGAACTGGCTTGTTTCCCCTCAGAACTGACTACTTTCTCCTCAGAACTGTTTCTCCTCAGAATGGGCTTGTTTCTCCTCAGACCTGGCTTCTTTCCCCTCAGAACTGACTTGTTTCTCCTCAGAACTGACTTGTTTCCCCTCAAAACTGACTTGTTTCCCCTCCGAACTGACTTATTTCTCCTCGGAATGGACTTGTTTCTCCTCAGACCTGGCTTCTTTCCCCTCAGAACTGACTTATTTCTCCTCAGACCTGGCTTCTTTCCCCTCAGAACTGACTACTTTCTCCTCAGAACTGACTTGTTTCTCCTCAGAACTGACTACTTTAGTCTCAGAACTGTTTCTCCTTAGAACTAAACCTCAGAACTGACTACTTACTCCTTGGAATTGACTTGTTTCTCCTCAGAACTGACTACTTTCTCCTCAGAACTGACTACTTATCTCCTGAATGTTATATGTGCACCCTGGAGTGCCTTGTAAGCTGCCTGAGTCCCTTCGGGGAGATGGTGGCGGGATATAAAGATGATGATGATGCTGATGACTTTCTCCTTATAACTACTCTCTTTTCAGAACTACTTTCTCCTCAGAACTCTTTTTTCCTCTGAACTGCTTTTTCCTCAGAACTGCTTTCTCCTCAGAACGGACTACTCTCCATTGGCCACGGACCTTTCTGGATGGGTTTCCCGCCTTCGTCCTCCACGTCAAAGGAGGTGAGGTCCTGATAGTCTTGGATCATTGCGACACAGAAGAGGGTCAACGTTCCTGCAGAGACACCAAAAACATTGAAAAAGGCAACAAGGTTAAAGAAAATGATGAATTTTAGCTATGCATACTTGCAATTATATTTGAAGTGACTGGATTGACCTTGAAGGAGCTGGGGTTGGTGACGACCGACAGGGAGCTCTGGCGTGGACTGGTCCAGGAGGTCACAAAGAATGAACAACAAACTGACACACTTCGCCATTTTTGATGACATGCGGCCACAGAGAAGTATGGGGCCACATGCCAAAGACATTTCATCCTCGACTCCTACACAGCCAGGTGCAGGAGCCAAGGATGAAACATTTGCTGTAGTGTAGTATAGACACTCTGTCCTGGAGGTCTGGAGGTCAAACAACAGAACTCCGGCACAGAGCATCTAGTTCCGGGACTACCAGTTAGGCCGTTAGGGGATCTTTGACCTCACTTCTGGCCAGCGGAGCAGGGAGCAGTGGAATGTCATGGGGGCTGCATCTCTGGGGACCCTCTGATCGCCATTAACAGCAACCACATAACCACAGCAACCATTGGGACCTGCTATCTCCTCGGTCGCATCTTCCCCTATGAATCTGTGCGTACCTTGAGATCATCCGGGGAGGCACTGCTCTGTCCCCCTCAACACACCTTCTCAAACATGGTTGATGGGGACGAGGGAAAGGGCCTTCTTGGTGGTGGCACCCTGGCTCTGGAACTCCCTCCCTAGGGAGATCAGACAGGCTCCCACTTTGTCCTCTTTCTGGAGACAGTTAAAAACCTGGATGTTCCAGTGTGCTTTTGATTAAGCAGTCCACCAGTAATTTTCCTGTCCCTACTTTAAGTTCAGCACTTGACATCGGCCCTCTTATTATCTACCTCAATACTTTTGATGACAATATTTCCATCCCTGCCTACTTGATCAAGGGTCTGGAGCACAAGCCCTATGAGGAGCGGCTTAAGGAGCTGGGCATGTTTAGCCTGAAGAAGAGAAGGCTGAGATGAGATATGATAGCCATGTGTAAATATGTGAGAGGAAGCCACAGGGAGGAGGGAGCAGATCAAGGGTCTGGAGAGCAAGCCCTATGAGGAGCGGCTTAAGGAGCTGGGCATGTTTAGCCTGAAGAAGAGAAGGCTGAGAGGAGATATGATAGTCATGTGTAAATATGTGAGAGGATGCAACATGGAGGAGGGACCAGATCGAGGGTCTGGAGAACAAGCCCTATGAGGAGCAGCTTAAGGAGCTGGCCATGTTTAGTCTGAAGAAGAGAAGGCTGAGAGGAGACATGATGAGAGCCATGTATAAATATGTGAGAGGAAGCCACAGGGAGGAGGGAGCAAGCTTGTTTTCTGCTTCCTTGAAGACGAGGACGCAATGGAACAATGGCTTCAAACTATAAGAGAGGAGATTCCATCTGAACACGAGGAAGAACTTCCTGACTGTGAGAGCCGTTCAGCAGTGGAACTCTCTGCCCCGGAGTGTGGTGGAGGCTCCTTCTTTGGAAGCTTTTAAACAGAGGCTGGGTGGCCTTCTGTCAGGGGTGATTTGAATGCAATATTCCTGCTTCTTGGCAGAATGGGGTTGGACTGGATGGCCCATGAGGTCTCTTCCAACTCTTTGATTCTATGATTCTATGATGGTTGCACTGCTCTTGCATTCCCTTCAGAATGTATTGCAATTTTTGGGCTTGTCCCTTGTAAGCCGCCCTGAGTCCCCTTGGGAGATGGTTGGTGGAGTATAAAAATAAAATAATAATAATAATTATAATTATATCATCCAATCTACTGTTCTGGGGTGTCTTGGATTTCTAATTGACCACCCTTATTGAGATAAGTGAGGGGGAGTCTTGAAGAGACAAGGGCATGTGCTATGGGTTCCGTTTCCCACCATTGGAAATAGTGGAAGCTATTATGGGTTTTTTTTTCTCGGAAGTATTTTAAAAACTCTAAAATCATAACAGTAAATAAAGAACAACACTCAAAAACAGGGGAATTCCAGACAAGAAACAATCAGGGCCAGCTAATCACCTCCCAACCAAGGATTCCCCCAGACAGGAAGCAGCCAGGCTGTGAATTGCCTACTTTCCAACAGACCTCACAACCTCTGAGGATGCATGCCATAGATGTGCGCAAAACGTCAGGAGAGAATGCTTCTGGGACATGGCCATATAGCCCAGCTAATCAGGGCCAGCTAATCATCTCCCAACCAAGGATTCCCCCAGACAGGAAGCAACCAGGCTGTGAATTGCCTACTTTCCAACAGACCTCACAACCTCTGAGGATGCCTGCCATAGATGTGGGCAAAACGTCAGGAGAGAATGCTTCTGGAACATGGCCCAGCTAATCAGGGCCAGCTAATCACCTCCCAACCAAGGATTCCCCTAGACAGGAAGCAGCCAGGCTGTGATTTGCCTACTTTCCAACAGACTTCACAACCTCTGAGGATGCCTGCCATAGATGTGGGCAAAACGTCAGGAGAGAATGCTTCTGGAACATGGCCCAGCTAATCAGGGCCAGCTAATCACCTCCCAACCAAGGATTCCCCTAGACAGGAAGCAGCCAGGCTGTGAATTGCCTACTTTCCAACAGACTTCACAACCTCTGAGGATGCCTGCCATAGATGTGGACAAAACATCAGGAGAGTATGCTGCTGGAACATAGTCATACAGCCCAGAAAACACACAATAACCCAAACTTTCCCCATGTTTTAGGAACAAAAATTGTGTTACATAGTGTAATATAAGCCTGTGGCCTTCTCAGGCATGACTTTCTCACTCACCTTAATGTCCAGGTGGGTCAATCGGTCAGTGGCGGAAAGGAGTGGGCTTGAATCACCAGCTGGAAGTGGGCAATGCCTTGTGTTTTGGGCCACCGGATTTGGGGGGGACACCCGACGGTCCGGCGTCCGTTGACCCTTTGCCGTGCTTCCGCCCCAATGACCTTTGTACTGTCAATAGGCTCCTCTCCCTCCAGGCCAATCGTAAACCACCCAACTAAGTGTACAGCTGGGATTTGTAGTATCCGAAGGGAATCACTGCCCTCCTCTCCTCTGAGATAAATGGCCCACCCTCCTTCCTGTTTCAAAATGCAGAACTGTCACCCCGAGGGCTTCCTTTTGGGAAGGGCTTCCCCAAGTTATAAAGAAAGGGGACGAAAAAAGAAAACGGATGTAAGTTGTGCAGAGCAGTGAGTTCTCTTTTTATTTATTTAACTTTTGCACAGGAAAGATCAGCATTTTTATTTTTCCTCCTTGACATAAGAAGCAGAAGAGAAAGCAAAGGAGAAAGCATCTTGTTCTGTTGCATAACAGAGGATATAGAGTAGGCTTGGGCAAACTTGGGCCCTTTGGGTGTTTTGGACTGTTAGGAATGATGGGAGTTGGAGTCCAAAACACCCAAAGGGCCCAAGTTTGCCCATGCCTAATAAAGTTAGCAAAACTCTTTGTTAGGGAGCATCTACACTATAGAATTAATGCAGTTTTGTTCCACTTGCAGAATTCATAGAGTTGGGAGAGACCCCAAGGGCGATCCAGCCCAATCCTGTTCTGCCATGCAGAATCACCCAATCAAAGCCCTCCCGACAGATGGCCATCTCAGAAACCTCCAGAGAAGGAGACTCCACCAACCGAAAGGACAGCTCCTACCATTAGGGGATTCTTCTTAATTAATGTTTACGTGGAGTCTCTCTTTCTGCAATTTGGACACATAGCTCCATTGTGCTGCACTTCCATTGAAGCATCCAAGAATTGCATTGGCTTTTTTAGTTGCTGCTGTCGTCGAGGGCATTCCAGGCCCCTGCCTTCAAGTTGGTGTGACCAGCTGCAGGGAGTTCCGCAGTTCCTGGATGCCAAATTGGGCCAAATTGATGAAATGTGCCCCAACAGCAAGCTCAACCAGGGACTCTACACAGCCGTGTTCTCTCTCCTTTCACTTCCTGCTAGCCCCAACAATGTAACAAGGCCCAAAATAAAGACTAATGAAATTGCAACTTTTTAACTCTCTAGCTTGATACTTTGTGTCTCTTTCTTGCCTGAAACTATCCAAATGCATGAAACTAACCTTTTCCAGGCCATGGGAGACTGCAGGCCTGTCCGGAATGCCTTCCTGGAGTTCCGGGGAGCCCAAATCTGCGCTCCTCCAAACCGCGGATACAGAAACCCCCAGGGTCCCCCGTATCCGCGAGATGGCGGATCGCCTCCATTTTGATGGCATATTTTTCCTAGCTTAATTCTAACACTATCTGCTATCTTGCTTTTTGCATTTCGGGCTTCTGCACTTGGGAAATAAGCTTTTAAATTTTAAGAATATAATTCCAAGGAAAGGTAGAAACGTGCCAAGAGGAAGAAGGCACATCAAGACAACCCTTATCGGGACCTCCTTCCACCTAGAAATCAATGTCCTCACTATGGAAGGACATGCAGATCAACAACAGTCACCTACGGACCCACTGCCAAGACACTACACTTAGAAGGCAATCATACTCAGACACAAGAGATCGCCAATGATAATGATGATGACATTTGTCCTGGTTGAAGTCCATCTTGTTAGTTTTGGCCAATCAGCTCCCCAGTCTATGAAGGTCATTCTGGATCCTGGTCCTGTCCTCTGGAAGATGGGCTCTCCCTCCCAATCTGGTGTGGCCTTCAGATTTAAGAAGCCCACCCTCTCTTCCATCCTCCATTGACAAAGCTTAAACACCTCGCTTGAGGCTGACTCCCCCACGCAGGTGTTATCGGAACATGACTGAGAACGATACATGACTTAAACATGATGGGAGAGAAAGGTTACGTTCTGTCAGCTCTGAAGCTTTCTATCAATTGAGTTTGGAGGGGGTGGCCCTGAATTCTAATTTCATGCGAGGAAAACTCCCGTCTCCATTAAACCAGCTTCTGGTAAGATCATGAAAACTAAAAAAGAGGGAGACGATTTTTGTTCCTGAGTTATAAATGTCATTTCCTAATAAAAACATGAGAAAAGTTTGTTGTTGTTCATTCGTTCAATTGTTCCCGACTCTTCGTGACCTCCTGGACCAGCCCACGCCAGAGCTCCCTGTCGGCCGTCACCACCCCCAGCTCCTTCAAGGTCAAGCCAGTCACTTCAAGGATGCCATCCATCCATCTTGCCCTTGGTCGGCCCCTCTTCCTTTTTCCTTCCATTTTCCCCAGCATCATTGTCTTCTCCAAGCTTTGCTGTCTCCTCATGATGTGGCCAAAGGACTTCCACTTTGTCTCTAGTCTCCTTCCCTCCAGTGAGCAGCCGGGCTTTATTTCCTGGAGGATGGACTGGTTGGATCTTCTCGCAGTCCAAGGCACTCTCAGCACTTTCCTCCAACACCACAGCTCAAAAGCATCTCTCTTCCTTCACTCAGCCTTCCCTAAGGTCCAGCTCTCACATCCGTAGGTTACTACGGGGAATACCATTGCTTTAACTATGCGGATCTTCGTTGCCAGTCTGATGTCTCTGCTCTTCACTATTTTATTGAGATTGGTCATTGCTCTCCTCCCAAGAAGGAGGCGTCTCCTGATTTCCTTGTGCACCAGTTGCGCCCGTACCTTGGGAAGTCAGATCTGGCCACAGTGGTCCACACTCTTGTTACATCCCGAATAGATTACTGCAACGCACTCTACATGAGGTTGCCTTTGAAGGCTGTTCGGAAACTTTAATTAGTCCAGCAGGCGGCAGCCAGATTAGTCACCGGAGCGTCATACAGGGAACATACCACCCCTCTTTTATGTCAGCTCCTCTGGCTGCCGATCCAGTTCCGAGCACAATTCAAAGTGCTGTTTTTGACCTACAAAACCCTATACAGCTCCGGCCCAGCGTATCTGTCCAAATGCACTTCCCTCTACGTCCCACCTCGGAGTTTGAGATCTTCTGAGGAGGCCCTGCTCTCGATCCCACCTCTATCACAAGTGAGATTGGTGGGGACGAGGAGCAGGGACTTCCCAGTGGTGGCCCCTCACCTGTGGAATTCACTCCTCGGGGAAATTAAGTCATCGACATCCCTCCTCTCCTTCAGAAGGAAATTAAAAACATGATTATGGGACCAGGCTTTCGGGCAATCTGGCAGTTAGATAAGGACAATGATGACCAGAATCAAGAGTACTTGACAAGTGGAATGAATTTACGGACTATGAGATGGCGAACGCTGAGCATTAGATTGTTTTTATTGATTTTAATGTATGGACTGGCTGTCTTAATTGTTATAATTACTGTTTACATGTTTTATCCATTGTTATGTTTATGTTGGCATCGAATTGTGCCTTTTGTAAGCCGCCCTGAGTCCCCCCTTGAGGGTTGAGAAGGGCGGGGTAGAAATGCGCGAAATAATAATAATAATAATAATAATAATAATAATAATAAAAAAATAAATAATTCTGTCAAACAGGAAGACATCATCCAAACCTTCCTGACAGATGACTATCCAGCCTCTGTTGAGGAGAAGAAGAAGACTCCACGTGACTTAAAGTTTGAAGGAATCTCCAAAGGCCATCATCTAGTCCAACACCATTCTGCCAGGCAGGAAGACACCATAAAAACCCCAGATTTATTCTTTTTGGACTCCATTGGTTTGTCCCAACAAAAATGGACCTACCAAAATCGTAAGATTTCCCTCTATTTCAATCACCGTCCAACAGCTGAATGAACGAGGCATTCGAATGGTTGGCTTTCCAGCCCACGAAAGAGAAGGAGGCCCTTGACTTCATTCTAAAGGGAGTGCCACCAAATTCAACACATTTCAGAAAAGGGAATTGCTCCAACGGAAGCGGGGAAAGCCATCAGAGAGAAAAGAGAAGTTGTGGTGCAGAAGAGCAAACTGGTTGAAGAAACTTGGAGGTTAGTTCAAAAACCACTGAAACCGAGGGTGCATCTACACTGTCGTATTAATGCAGTTTGATACCACTTTGACTGCCGGCGCTATGGAATCATGGGAGTCATTGTTCATTTTATGATCATTTTAATGTCCTACAAGGAAGATTATGTAACATGATGGGTTCATTTTATATTGTATGTTTTAATGCTATTGTAAACCGCCTTGAGTCCATTGGAGAAAGGCGAAATAGACATTTCCTTACTAAATAAATAAATAGTTTAGACATTGGAAATCTTTAGCCTTCTCTGCCCCTGTTACGCCAGCTCCACTGGCTGCCAATCTGCTACCGAGCACAATTCAAAGTGATGGCTTTAGCCTATAAAGCCCTAAATCAGTGTTTCTCAACCTTCCTAATGCTGCGACCCCTTAATAGAGTTCCTCACGTTGTGGTGACCCCCAACCATAAAATTATTTTTGTTGCTAATTCGTAACTGTACTTTTGCTACTGTTGTGAATCGTAATGTAAATATTTGACATGCAAGGATGTATTTTAATTCACTGGATCAAATTTGGCACAAATACCCAATACTCCCAAATTTGAATACTGGTGGGGTTGGGGGGGGGGGGGATTGATTTTGTCATTTGGGAGTTGTAGTTGCTGGGATTTATAGTTCACCTACAACCAAAGAGCATTCTGAACTTCACCAACAATGGAATTGAACCAAACTTGGCACACAGAGCTCCCTTGACCAGCAGAAAATACTTGAAGGCTTTGGTGGGCATTCACCTTGAGTTTTGGAGTTGTAGTTCACCTACATCCAGAGAGCACTGTGGACTCAAACAATGATGGATCTGGACCAAACTTGGCACGAATACTCAATATGCCCAAATGTGAGCCCTGGTGGAGTTTGAGGAAAATAGACCTTGACATTTGGGAATTGTAGTTGCTGGAATGTATAGTTCACCTACAATCAAACAGCATTCTGAACACCACCAATAATAGAATTGGGCCAAACTTCCCACAGAGAACCCTTATTACCAACAGAAAATACTGTGTTTTCTGATGGCCTTTGGCGACCCTCTCACACCCCCTCATGACCCCTCCAGGGGTCCCGACCCCCAGGTTGAGAAACACTGCCCTAAATGGTTCCGGCCCAGCTTACCGAATGTAT